GTCTGAGAGAGATGAGATCCAACGACTTCAGTGGAGTGGAGAGAATACTGAGGGCATTCCCATTTGGTTCACTGAGGAATACAATAATAGGGAATTACTGGATAAATATTTATACAAAGTTGGAGTTAAAAGCAAGAAGTCTGATCTACGAGGAGCAGCTGGTCGAATGGTTAGAGCGCTGGGCTCTCAAGCAGGAGATTCGGGTTTGAATCCTCAGTAAGGCTGGGGATTTTTTGTGTGTCAAGGGCCAAATAAATAAAATCCTTACCTGCAGCACAGTCATAGCGACTGTACTAGCCGTGCGACAATACATTCTTAGGTTCAAAGGCGCCCCTGCCTACACCACAAAAGCAGTATAATAAAGGGTGATTGGTAGTTTTTTTTATATTTTTTGTATATCTTCTTTGTTTGGCAGTCTGATCTACGAAATTTTATATCAAATACAGAAGGTGATGCCCTGGTACCACAACTGCCACAGACATCTATGCTAAAGAAATTTAATGAACAAAGATCAAGAGGCAGATTGAGTAAAATATGAAATGCCAGCATCAAAAACCACAGTAAAGATATTAATACCATCTTATACAACAAACTAGAAATACTGCACAGACAATACCTTTTTTCGCCCTTCTCCTGACACTTCACTGCGGTAACAGTAACCAGAAGAAAATATACAAATGAATAAAATGATGCCCATTTACCAATTCATTCAGATTTTAATACTGACTAAATACCTAAAAGTAGCAGCAGTATTTATATTAGCTTCTTCTTAAGTGTTCGCTGGTTGTAAACTCCAGCAGAAGTTCAGGCTGGTAATCCACATTTGGATTTGGTATTGTTTCAAACCCTGAGTTTTGCATGCACATCTGTTTTACAGATGTGGCTTATTTATTTATAAATGTACTGTTGGTTTCTTGCCTATCAGGCAGGCAGATGCACTCTTGACTCTGAAGGAATCACCCCTAATTATTTGCCTTGTATGACTACAGGGGAGACAGCAGGTCCAGTGCAGCCCCCCAGAACCCACAAAGAAACAGGAAACCAACAGTCTGCACAGAAATAAGCCAGATTTGTAAAACGAATGTGCACATAACACTCAGGTTCTAGAACACAACTAGTCTGGAGGTGGATGAAAACCAGAACATTTTGCTGAAGTTTACAGCCACTGAACGTGAAGTGAAGAAGAAGAAGAAAAAGAAGAAGAAGGAGGAGGAGGAATTATTTTACTGCAGGTATTCATTACAGTTGACATCTTGTGCAATAAAATTTAAAACAATATGAAAATATGATAAATAAGAATGCAAATTATACCATGACTAAGACATTGTATTATATATTAAAAGTATTTACAAAATATACTTACGCAAGTATCCTTCCATGGATTGTGTGTAGGCTGGATAAGAAACCAAGATCAGTGAACTCTGAATGATTTGACTGAATTAACAAGTACCCAGTTATCTCCTTGACATGCTTGAGTACGGTCAAGTTGTGGGGGTGCAGTGGCTCAATGTTATAAAAGTCATCTCTGAATTTAAAAAAACAGCAAATATTATCAAACATATTTTGGTTATCATCATCTCATTATTCTCATTCTTCTTCTTCTCTTCCTCCAGTTATCTCCCTCAAAAGGAAAAGAGTGTGGCACAGATCTTTTGTGTGCCCTGTCTAATGCTTTGCAAAAGTTTATCTTCACTTTTTTACTCTTTTAGTCCCAAGAGGTTTAGCATCAGAGGCCCAAGGAGTAGTTGCGCATCCTGCATTCACTGGAAACTTTTGAATGTATGATGCATTTCCTAGAACTGAAACAGTTAAGTGTTCTCGATGATGTCCCTCCAACTTTTGTGTGGTCTTCCTTGTATTCTATGTTTATAAATTCAACATGGCTCTAAGATTATTTTTTTTAATTTTATTTCAGCAAAGTGTATAATACTAAAACATGTTCCTCATAATTCTTCTTCTTCTTTTTCTTCATACACCGGCTGTAAGCTCCGGCGGAAAGTCCTGGTTGTTCGTCCATCAGGACTTTGGCTTTGTGCCAGGATCTGAGTTTTTTGTTTTTGTGTGTACTTCCATTTTGTCTGCTCTGTGGCTAAGTCGATGCGAACGTTTCGTAATGCCAGGATGCCAGGTTCGTTCTCAGCTGCGGGCCATGCGTCTTGAGTTGGTTTCAACAGTATCAGGAAAGCCGACCGTCCAGAAAGCAATGGCAAACTACTGGACGTAAATTTGCCTAGAAAAAACTACACAACAGTGGAAGAAAAGAAGAAGAATTCTATCAGAGAAAAAGCAAGCAGAATATTACAATGAGAATATTACAGTTACCACCAGAAATCCAACTCTGTGCTGGCTTCTGGATAGGAGGATAAGACGCTTATGAGAACGTACAAAGTGCTATGATATTAGTTTTAACTCAACTCCATCCGACGACGTTCATGACGGAGTTGGACTTTTTCAAAAAATGACCTTGGCTCCCAAATCGACCCAGCCCTAAGTGGGTACCAGGTGTAGTCATGGGAAGTAAAGGCAGCCTGCAGGATGTTGACTACATCCCCCACTGAGTGCCAACTGGTATATAAAATTTAGGTCTAGCCCTGTATGCTCTATTCGCCTAAGGCGTGAAAAAGGGTCTTTTACATTACCGTTACAAATCCATCTTAATGCGGATATTATCACCACCATTAGTTTCATTCTATTCTACCCATCTAATCTACCCAAATGTCAGGATAAACATCTCAGTGTCAATAAACGGCACTGTAACCGCTAAAATGATCTACTAATAGCTGTTGCCTCACATAGCATCATAAAACTCTATAAAGAAGTACCAAAGACGCATCAGAGTCTGACAATATGGCATCTTTGATATGATCAACTGTCTTTTTCCCGTCTGTAGCAGACCATTAGAATAAGGCTGTTTTTGTCTCAGTCCTGTTTGTAAAATCCATTTCAGTATAATTCTGTAGAATTCCTGCCTTGATCTTTGGTGAATTCTATCCTCTTCAACTATTTGGTGAATTCTATCCTCTTCAACTTTTTGGTGATTTCTATCCTTCCTTCTTTGATGTTTCTGCATTTCTTTGTTGTCACATCCCACCTGGCATTGGATTTATATGTAGACAGCAATTTTGTTTTTTACTTTTGCACTTACACATCATGTGTAAATAATGGCATCGTAACCAGTGGCATCATAACCAGTGACAGATGCACTGACAGCTGTTGAATTTCTGCCTCCATTCCCATGGTAATTAACATTTTATGGCAATATCTTTCTTTGTCTTCATGTTCAACTGGGTGTAAACTCCAGCGGAAATTTCTGGTTGTTTGTCCGCCTCAAGACTTCAGTCTTGTTCCAGAATAGGGGCATTTATTGTACATCCATTCTACAGATCTGGCTTATATGTATGCAGACTGTTTGTTCCTTGCTTCTCAACCTACACTAGTCATTCTAGCACTTTGATTACTTGCCCAATAGTAGACTCTGCTTTCACATTTCATGACTACCCTCTGTAGAGTCAATGGTCTTTCATACCCTCTAAGTTTTCTTTTCTTCATTTCATCCAAGTTGTAAATAAAAACATCACCTGGGTTTACTTACAATATTCTTTGATGCTTTTGCTAATATTAATCTCAAATTCAAATAGTGAACTGGTTATTCAGTGTTAGAAATTTACTATACAGACTTACATACAACTCATGCTGTATTTGCAAAAATGTACTCAAATACATGCACACGAAAAATTCACTATACAACTAGTACTACTAGTTATCATTACTTTCAGATAATCATGCATCATGAAATCAATTCATTTACCTCTCAATAATCAAACTTGTCACCTTTCTTTCATATGCATTTTTTCTTCAGTTTCTTCCTTATTTTCCTAATGTCTTGTATCTTATACACATTGTTTCATTTGTTTCTAACTATCTAGTGCTTGTTTTTAGGCCTCCTACTATTTCTGTTTGCCCTGTCCATGTAACTTCACATGCAAGCTGTACTGTTATTTACAATCGGTTTATTTTATTTATTTTTAGTTGTTATAATTTTCTGTGTAAAAGTCCAAACCACAAAGAGATTGTTTGGCGGTCTCTAGTATGTACAATGCATGGCAGTCAAGTATGTGCTATTCTTGCAGTCTGTTAACTTATTCAGCACCAAAAGATGAAATTACTAAGGTAGGTCAACTATGAAAAATGCACAAGTGTACTCAGTTCACAATCATATACTGTGAGGTATGTTAAAACTTATATCCAGATTAATATAATGTATTCAAACTAAATATCATTGTCTCCATTTGGAAGAATAAAGGAGACAAAATAATACTGTGAAACATATAGAGGCAGCTCCATCGTGAACCATGTTGGAAAAATGTTTGCAAAAATACTGGAATTTAGAGCTCGACCAGAACTAGAACAACACCAACTGAAATAAAAACATAAATGAAAAAAAAATCTAAATGTAACAGTGCACTGTACTTTATCTCCAGAGACATACAAGTAGCTAACCCCTTATGCTGTGTTCTTTGGGGCAGAAAGAGTTAAGGTGCATTAGGTGGACTGTAAATGACATGGTGTTACATCTGCAGTTGGCTAATCATGTTCAGGCTCTTCCATTAAAGATCTTTGTGGTCAGGACTGGATAAACAGCTTTCTCCCTCTCTGTGTGTGCATGCGTGCATGGGTGTGTGTGTATTATCTCCAGTAGTCAGGTTACATCTTTACAAGAACATCTACAGATTCAGTGCATAAACGTAATAGTGCTGTAATGTGTGGCTGTCTGGTCTGCTGTTACATTTATGTTGCCAGGTTCAGCCCTATACCATTTGAAGGACAGATTCTTCTTTTCTTCTCTAGTCGTTTCTGCCTTTTAGTGTCAGGTTTCTAAAGAGGCATCTGGTGCAAGTCTTTGTTATGTATATGCTTGTATTTACAGAATAATACTGATAAAGAACAGTAATTAAACCAACTAATTCCATATTACCACCACCAGAACTAATAAAGCTTACCTATTGAAAGAGGAACTTAATATACGCATGTTTCCTTCAACGGAAGTACATCCTTCAAAATCTTTGATATTCTTTGAGTTGAGAAAATGTGGAGGGTCAGTACCATTGCATTCTACGAAGGTAGAAAGATGCACAAATAAACACACATGCATTAATTAGTACATCAACCAAATGTACAATCACAAGTTTCAGCTTTGTAGATCTGGAAACAATAGTTTTTATGCTTTTGAAAACCACACTTGGCATGCTTAAGTTGGTAGTAATGTTTATTTAATTATTATGTAATGTTCAACAAAGAGATTCTGATGATTCACTATTTAAGTACACAAACTTTGTCATAAGAACATAATTCTAACAAGCCATCAAAATTTCATACATTCAATATTATCTATTTATTCCATTCTTAGAATTCTGAAAGTGTTTAGAAAAATAGTTTGCTTTTAGTTATGATATTCTGCTGGGCTCTCTCTCTCTCTCTCTCTCTCTCTCTCTCTCTCTCTCTCTCTCTCTCTCTCTCTCTCTCTCTCTCTCTCTCTCTCTCTCTCTCTCTCTCTCTCTCTCTCTCTCTCTCTCTCTCCTATAACGCACAGGCAGTTAAACCTCAGTGCAACAGATATTTGTGTTTCAGTTAAAAAGATTCATTTATTTGTTTCTTTTTATTTTATTCAGTAGTATTCACCCCAAAAAAATACAGCAAAATGCAATAAATAAATTGTGCCACTTGTTTTATGTATATTCTTTGATCAAATTTCAACATGCCAAGACTGCTTTGATTATTTTTCAGTGTTAATTTCATTAAAATAAGACTACACTTTGAAAATAAAAATAAAAAATAGAATCTATCTGTGCATGCAAATCATCACAACATACAAATGTCAATTCACAAATTAAGAAAGTTTGCCAAATATTATTCTGAGGAAGAAAATAGAGCACCGGTGAGAATGTCCTGAGTACAAAGATAATTCTTGACTTATTCATTGAATCATTCATTCAGTACTAAACCTTGATTTCAAAAAATTGAATGGAAAGTGTCTTCAGTTAGTAAATGTCAACAACAAAAAACAAAGATGCAAATTACTTTTCTGCAAACATATACACAAATATGTTAATTCATGCTAATCTTGAAATCTTCAATGCAACTATTAATGTTAACAGCATCAAAAAATACACTTTTCAAAATGCACAATCCCTGTAGAAGTTTCTGGGATGTCTAAGTTGGCACAAAGTAAGTACTGACAAAGTCAATGCAACAAATTAGAAAAATATACACAGTGTATGAAAATTCAGTCTCTTGAAAGATATTTAATAAACATAATAAGCAACTCAGGTAACTATTTTCATAATGAAATAGCAAAACTCTGCAGCCATCCCACATCTATACATCCCCTTCCTCATCCAAGAAGTTCTTATTCGCTTCTCAGTTCCACCCACTGTCTTTTGTATTTTATATCCATGGAGTCTCTTATGACATATGTCCATCTATATGATGATCAGCTACTGCCTCTTTTTCCTTCTTCAAGGAATCATGTCTTCCATTACTGGTAGCAGAAGTAGTAGTAATTTAAACAACAGTATTGTGTTCAACCCATCCAGGCTGTAACTAGGATATATCCTTCTACTACTGTTTTCTCGAATCCACTGTCAAATTTAATGTGGCGGAGTTGTTAGTTTCTATCCCCCCCCCCCCCCCCTCCTTTCTAGCAAATAATTATAAGAAGGCTGTTTTTGAAGCCTGAGAGATGTGGTTTTACAGAAGAATGCTTAAAATACCCTGGACAGCCAAAAAGAGCAACCAAGAGGTTTTGAAAGAGGTGGGAGCCCGAAGGCAACTTATCACAGACATCAGAAGGAGACAATCATTATTTTTGGCCATGTTATAAAAGGAAAAAAATTTTAACATGTTGTGACTACTGGAAAGATTTGTGAAAGGAGGGATAGAGGAAGAAAACGAAGAAAACGAAAAAGATTCTTGACAGTCTTGTTGCATGGCATAGAGGTGTGTCAGCACACGAACTGATACATGCTGCAGGAGATCACAGATTGTGGAGAGGCATGAATGAACGCCCAAGCCAGTCGGCAAGGCGCCTGATAATGATGTTTTTTTTTACTCTGGCCTGTTTATAGTATCCATTTCAACAGAAGATAATTCTGTAGAATTCCAGCCTTGATCTTTGGTGATTTCCTATACTTCTCTCCTTTTGGCCATTTTGATCCTTCTCTCTTTGATGTTTCTGCATTTCCCTTAATGTACATGCTGTTTTATTTTTCCCCAGTTTTTTTTTTTTTTTTTTACTGCTGACTGACAAAACTAGAAAATGCACTAAGATAAAAGTTTGCATTTTCTTCTATCTTTTCTTTCCAAATAAGACTAAAATCCTTCAATATAATTCCATGGCTAAATCCAAGTATATCAGAGGAAAGATTAGAATATAAATGCACAGCTACATTATTGATCTGATTCTAGTTTTATCTCACATGCAGAAGCAATCACAAATCTAAAGAACACTCTCACAATTTTCAATGGTGACACATTCACTAACATTTGTGGTAATTCTTCTTCGTCTCAATTCTGCATCTGACCTTGCTTTTTGGTTTAACACATTCAATTTAAGCAAATTGTTAACTCTTTGAGTCCCAGGGGGTTTAGCATCACAGGCCCAGGGGGTTTAGCATCACAGTCCCAGGGGGTTTAGCATCACAGGCCCAGGGGGTTTAGCATCACAGGCCCAGGGGGTTTAGCATCACAGGCCCAGGGAGTTTAGCATCACAGGCCCAGGGAGTTTAGCATCACAGGCCCAGGGGGTTTAGCATCACAGTCCCAGGGGGTTTAGCATCACAGTCCCAGGGGGTTTAGCATCACAGGCCCAGGGGGTAGTCAAGACAGTCATAACATCGGCACATCATGCGTTCATTGGGACTCAAAGAGTTAATTGCCTTTTACGACATCCTGTTGAGGGGCAGTGGGTCTATTCATTGTTTTTTTCTCCAAACATAGGGCCCAGGAAACCCACAAGGAGAGTGTGACTCCAACTGTAACAACATGAGCTGAAAACAAGACAGTAATATACCAGACACTTTATAAAGCATTCACTTCTGCATGACACAAACAGTTCTGAATAAACAAGCAGTAGAGAAAAGTAACACTTTTTCATGATACTTTACAAACACAGCATAGATTTTCTTCTATAAAACATGCAACATCTGCAGATTATCAGTCTAATGTTGTCACTGGAATTTGTAGGATTTTCCAGCTGAATAACTGGCAGAACTAATGGGATCATGTGACTGTTTAGTCCGTTTTCCAAAAAAATATTTTTACTTGAAAATGAAATAACCCCACCCTGCCCTTTTGAAATTTTCCAACTCTAAATTTTTAAAAAATTATAAATACATTATCATACTATTACTAGGGCTGTAAAATGTGGATTTTGTCTAATGTGATTGCTTATTTATTGAAATTCATGCTGTTAATGTGTTAAATACTCAAGTAAAATTTAATATTTGACACAATTACTTTCAGTTAATTTATTAATTACATCCGCACACATTTGGTCTTGAAAAAATCAACATTATTATTCGTTTAAAACTGGCGATAAGACATGCACTGATAGTTGCTAGCAACACTGTTCAAGGTTAAGACTGAATAGACAGTTTCAATCACAACACATTACCAGTTGCTTGCTCTTACTTACCTCATGAATGTAGATACAATAATCTTGAGGTTACCTTGCACTATAGTACACTCTTTAAACTCATTGATATTATTGGAATTTAGATAATCATTAATAAAACAGTCTATTTTTCCATTTATTCAGTTATTTAAAAAAAAAAATTGTATGTGTAATTGCAAAAGTATAGATGGTGTTTAATTTAATTTCCAATCATTTAACATTTTGGATTTTTTTTTTTTTTTTTAAATATTAGTGAATGTTTAGGGAAGATGTGTGTATGAGTTTGAAGTGAAAGGGGAGGAGGAAAAGCAACAAGAAAATTAAATCAAATCAAATATGTCATTTATAATTTACCACAATAACAACCAGGCATGCAAACAGAAAAAACTTGTACAGTAAACCATTAAAAAAAAAATCAGTACACATCCAACTCTCTCAGCCCCAATGAGCTGATTTCAGTTTTTTTTTTTACTCGACACAGTGAATCACATAATCTGTTATTTTGTGGAGTTTATATTTGGTCTCAGCATGCTGAAGAAATCTGACTTCCATAATGTCAGATCTATGAGTTAAGCTTCTTTAAAATACCAATATGATTTTTTAATGATTTGTGTGCCCCGTAGTTTAAAACCTACTGAAACTAAGTTTAATAACCTGAAAAATGTACCATTAAGTGTGATACAATTTTCATGCTTGAGAGTCAGGAATGCCATTGCGTATTCAAAAACAGAAAGGACCAGACGCTGGTATAGAAGATATAGATGACGCTGCACACAGTTTGCCGCCGCCATCACAGCCAGACCCCGCTTGGCTTTCATTATAATCTGGTCTTTATGCTCAGTATAAGCAAGGATTCGACCAAAATGTATCCACAGGTATTTTATTGCATTCGTTCTTTCCATACATCCTCAGAACACAGACTAACAACTGGTGTTGGAGTTTTCACAATATGGTTATTCAAAGAGAACCATGTCACTGCCGCTTTCATTGGGTTGACCAGTGCACCAGCTTTACCACACAAAGTGCATATGCGATTGAGCTCTTTTTGTAGCTCTTCAGCAACCTTCTCTCTACCCCTAACCTGACAATACACTAACCGGTCAAAATGGACGCTAGGCAGAGGTACTGTTTGGAGCCGTGGCAAATTGTTTGCTTCTGCCAGACGGTAGCCGATGCATTTTTGCTACATTTGTAGACTTGATATAGTTTCGTCGACCAGCTTCTGAGTTGAATGCATGGCATGACACTGTGAGCTGCAGATTTCATTTAGAATGTTTTTTCGACTGTGACCATGGTAGTGTGAATTGTAGATTAAGAAAATGGCGCGATGCCTGTCGTTGCAATGGTGGTGGTGCCCGTATGTGATCAAAAAGAAAAAGAAAACCTGCACTTTCGTTTAGGTCCTATTCCCTACAAATGTCACTTTTTCTACCTGTCTACGCTGACCTACTTGTGAGACACATAGTTAATGCTATTGATAAAGTTCGCTTCTGCGCAAATGTTTAGGAGGTAATGATATAATTACATTGACTAACAACAACATGGGAAGGGAGGTGGGGGGCGTCTTTTGAACTAAATAGCTTTTTTTAAAGCCAAGCTAAGGTCAGATTTTCTCATATGTCTCAGTGATCAAAGTGAAGGGGTCACGGCACGAGTCACCCAATATATGTGTTTTTTATTTTTTAAAGGTTTGGGGGATACATTCCATTTGTTGCTTTACTCTGTTCATATTTATTAAATACTCCTTTCACATATCTTTAGAAAAACAATTTAGAAATATAGGTAAATTCATTTTTAACAAATTTATTAGTGACCTGTGTATAAAAAAATTTTTTTTTAATGTTTTACAGAATTTTTATGGAATTCAAACAGGTCCTGGCCCACTTTATTTTAATGTTTTCAGGCGAAAGTGTTAAAGTTTGTACGTATTTTTTTTTTTTAAGATTTAAAAAACTAGGAATGATATATAATTAACTAGATAGTGCAACATTTAATATGTTTGGTGAAGTTTTAATGACTAAATAAGGAATATGCAGAAGACATACAACAATATTGAGTATAAAACTAATGGCTGAAAGAATATTCATGTCCATAATTCCGTTGCCTTGGTGTGCTATATGTGTGTGTGTTCAACGGATGACCTCTCTAGAGGTCAAACATTTGAGTCCTATTCTGCACGAGCACTGGTTAACTATCATCATGTGCTTTCACAGCTGGGATGGGTGATCATGGCTCTCCAGAGCCTGTTATCTTCAAAAGCATTCATCAGCTTATGTGCTGTCACCTCTCCGTACCATTAAAATAAAAAAGAATTAAAAGGCTGTCAGTTATCTTCTTGTTTTGTCTTCCTGTAACTCCTTCCAGTGGTAACAAAATATTCTAGTTTCCAACTGGAACACTTTCTTTGCTGCTGAAGATGGGGACGGAGCACTTATGGGAGTGTCCTGAGGGCTGTGATGTCGATTCTCAATTTAACATTCAACACTGAGCAAGAAATGTTTATGTACAATAACAATGGAATAAAATTTAAAAAAAACAAAATGGTAAGAAAAACTAGGGTATTAATGACATGAAAGGAACAGCTATATTTTGGGGGGAAAACTCATAAATTAGACACACACAAATAATTTTGGTACACTGTTGTGAATATCCTATTGTAATAACAAAAGATGTAAATCTCAATTATGTCCTCACAAAAATATAATTTAAAAATATAATGATAAAACATATACTGCAGTTTTAAAACAAACAAACAAAAGCCACACACACAAAAAAAGAAAAATAATTTTAAAGAAATTAACACACACAGCATTTAACTATGTTTGTATCAGGCTGGAGTAGTCTTCCAACTACTTGTGCCAATTTTTCAGCCTTTTCATTTCCAGGTATGCTGCAATTGTTTGGAATCCACGTTATCACTTTTTTTTTCCTGACTCAGTGTGCATTATGAATTGCTAGTTCTGTAATTTTTTTTTTTTTTTTTGGTCTTCAGTTCTATGACGACTTACTTTGCCTCTGTGAAGATTGCTATAGGGTTTTTCTTTATTTTGCTATGTCAAAGCGGGGTCTGTTGCTTAGGTGTTGCTCTGTCAAAATCATTTCTGTTGCATTTCTAAAGACCTCCTCCTCTGCTCTAAAATATTTGAGAATTGTCTGGTTGCCACAGACTGTGTTCTTTTTCATCCATTTTTCACATTCAACAAAACTCCCCCACCTCCATTTTTCTATTTTCTGCTGATCCATCTGTATATAGGCACGAGTCTAGACTTTACTTAGGTAATGTTCTTCTATGTAGTTTTTAAGGTGCTTTTCCTTCTTTCAGTTTAAATTTGACTTAGCCACTATTGCCTATGCTGCAATACCACATTCAAGGACTGGCCTTACTCGTCCAGGATACAGCTTCTTAACAACTTTTTCCTCAGCTTCGATGTTGTATAAGCAAGATTTTTCATGACTACCATTCTTTGCCTTGCTCTTGTTCAACCTGCCTCTAATTGTGTCTTTCATGTCAGGCGGCAATCAAATGTGACACCTAATTATTTTTGGACTGTTCTCTTGATTTAGTCGGCTCTATGGCTAAGTTGATGCGAATGCTTCGTAATGCTGGGATGCCGGGTTCGATCCCAGCTGCAGGCCATACGCCTTGCGTTGGTTTTGACAGTGGTATCAAGAAAGCCGACCGTCTAGAAAGCAGTGGAAAACTACTGGACGTAAATTTGCCTAGAAAAACCACACAACAGCCAGGGGCTGTTGCGGTTGGTTCTGCAACATCCTGTAAAGGACATGCAACTAACCTCTCTTGATGCAGTATGTTTCCAACTAGCTCAGCTGGCCAGTTTTTTTTCTTTTTTTTTTTTTTAGAGGGAGAACACTGTACGTTGTTTTTTTCTTCACTGATATTCACTAGCCACATTTTTGATCATTCCTCTAGCATTGATAAGATCTGCCACATCCTACTCCTGAGCTGTCCATTAATCAATCTCTCTCTCTCTGAAGTCTGTTGTAATTGCCTTTGCAATTTTCTGCTTGATTTCAACCACTACATTTCCATCCCAGAAGATATTTCTTCCCAGGTGAGTGAAGTCAGTAACTGCTTCCAAACCTACATTATCTATAAACATAGATCTTTCACTTTTGGGGTTTATCTCCAGCAGTTTTTGTTTTTGTTTTTTTGGACATTGATTCTTAACCCTGTCTGTTTTGCTATGTCTGTGATCCTATCCGTCTTTTGTTGCAGATGTTCTTTACTTTGACTGATGACACAGATATCATCTGCAAAGTCCAAATGTTCCAGGTGTTCAAGAAGGTTCCACTGAAGGTCTGTCTGTGTGCCTGTGGTTGCTTTCTTCGTAACATAATCTTCAACTATGAAAAACAAGAGAGGTGATAGAATGCACTCTTGACGGACACCTGACGTTACCATGAATTATTTTGTTTCCATGAGTCCTACTTTCCCTTTGCATTGGTATCCTTCAGTGAGTCCTTTAAATATGTTTATAACCTTATCTGGTAACCCAGAGACAGCAAGGATCCTCTACATCATTGTTCTATCTTGATTGTCAAAGGTCTTTTTCAGTCTATAAAGTTTACATATAATGTGGCATTGTACTCTAAAACTTGTTCCACAATATATCTGAGAGTAAAAATATGATCACAGCAGTTTCTTCTTTTTCTGAATCCTGCCTGATCTTCCCACAAAACTATGTCTATGATTTCATCATTCTGTTGTATATCACCCTACAGAGTGCCTTTCTGGGTACAGAGAATCATATTATGCCTCTCCAGTTGTTGCAGAGTGAGAGATCACCTTTCTTCAATAGTGGGATCATTACACATTTTTCCAGTCTGTTGGCACCACTTCATTTATTCATATTTTGTTGAATATTCCATGTAATGCTTTTGCTGTAAATTATGGGTAAACCTTTAACATGTCAGCACTAATTCACCAGGTGCCTTCCCATTCTTCATACTGTTTATTGCCGTTTCTATTTTTTTTAACGCTGTAAAACTTAGCTGGTCTAATATATTTTTACTTTAAAAAAAAAAATTTTTTTTTACGTTTGCCATAAAGGTCAATGTTTACTGTATTTTGTGTCACATGAAAGAGAGGCTGTGAACCCACTTGATTACCAATGCAACATGACATGGACTAAATAAGAAAAAGTCAACTGTTATATGCATCTGAGATTAAACAGGGAGCACTAACTATACAGAAATGCTTACTTTTTGGACATGGTCCATTGCAAGGTATACACAGTCTATCTTTTGAGTGTCTGCCTTCTGAACACTGGCGAACACATGAGCTGCCATCTTGAAGAAGAAAATCTGTGAATAGAAAAATTTACAAAATCAAGTTGTAATATCCATGTGTGTGTGTGTGTTTAGAGGCCCAATTTTAAGGTTGGAGAGGAGGAGGGGGCGTGGCAGGGGGAGAGAAGATAGACCCAACAGTTGCGATCTAACGAGCATGTCATAAAAGACTACTACAGCAATGTGAGTTTCCTAAAATTTGATGCACTGAGCCTAAGGGAGCAACATCACTGTCTAGCTATAAATGTGGCAACCATTATTTTAAAGTTCAAAGCAGACAAATAAAAATAAAAAGACTGAATACATTGGCTGGCTGGTTAATCTTCTCAATGCCTGATTCCTGTAATACACTGTCTGGCTAGTGAATCTTCTCAATGACTGATTCATGTAATACATTGGGTGGCTGGTGAATCTTCTCAATGACTGATTCATATAATACATTAGGTGGCTGGTGAATCTTCTCTATGAATGATTCCTGTAATACACTGTCTGGCTAGTGAATCTTCTCTATGAATGATTCCTGTAATACACTGTCTGGCTAGTGAATCTTCTCTATGAATGATTCCTGTAATACACTGGTTGGCTGGTGAATCTTCTCAATGACTGATTCATGTAATACACTGGTGGCTGGTGAATCTTCTCAATTACCAATTCCTGTAATACACTGGTTGGTTGGTGAATCTTCTCAAAGATTGATTCCTGTAATACACTGTCTGGATGGTAAATCTTCTCAATGACTGATTCCTCTAATACACTGTCTGGCTAGTGAATCTTCTCAATTACTAATTCCTGTAATACATTGTCTGGCTAGTGAATCTTCTTAATGACTGATTCGTGTAATACATTGGGTGGCTGGTGAATCTTCTCAATGACTGATTCATGTAATACATTGGGTGGCTGGTGAATCTTCTCAATGACTGATTCATGTAATACATTGGGTGGCTGGTGAATCTTCTCAATGACTGATTCATGTAATACATTGGGTGGCTGGTGAATCTTCTCAATTACTAATTTCTGTAATTCACTGGTTGGTTGGTGAATCTTCTCAAAGATTGATTCCTGTAATGCACTGGTTGGCTGTTGAATCTGCTCAATGCCTGATTCCTGTAATACACTGTCTAGATGGTGAATCTTCTCAATGACTGATTTCTGTAATACACTAGGTGGTTGGTGAATCTTCTCAATGACTGATTCATGTAATACATTGGGTGGTTGGTGAATCTTCTCAATGACTGATTCATGTAATACATTGGGTGGCTGGTGAATCTTCTCAATTACCAATTCCTGTAATACACTGGTTGGTTGGTGAATCTTCTCAAAGATTGATTCCTGTAATACACTGTCTGGATGGTGAATCTTCTCAATGACTGATTCCTCTAATACACTGTCTGGCTAGTGAATCTTCTCAATTACTAATTCCTGTAATACATTGTCTGGCTAGTGAATCTTCTCAATGACTGATTCATGTAATACATTGGGTGGCTGGTGAATCTTCTCAATGACTGATTCATGTAATACATTGGGTGGCTGGTGAATCTTCTCAATGACTGATTCCTGTAATTCACTGGTTGGTTGGTGAATCTTCTCAAAGACTGATTCCTGTAATACATTGGGTGGCTGGTGAATCTTCTCAATGACTGATTCATGTAATACATTGGGTGGCTGGTGAATCTTCTCAATTACTAATTTCTGTAATACACTGGTTGGTTGGTGAATCTTCTCAAAGACTGATTCCTGTAATACATTGGGTGGCTGGTGAATCTTTTCAAAGATTGATTTCTGTAATACATTGGGTGGCTGGTGAATCTTCTCAAAGATTGATTTCTGTAATACATTGGGTGGCTGGTGAATCTTCTCAAAGATTGATTTCTGTAATACATTGGGTGGCTGGTGAATCTTCTCAATTACTAATTTCTGTAATACACTGGTTGGTTGGTGAATCTTCTCAAAGACTGATTCCTGTAATACATTGGGTGGCTGGTGAATCTTCTCAAAGATTGATTTCTGTAATACAGTGATTTGTGGTGGATCTTCTCAAAGACTGATTCCTGTGATACACTGGCTGGCTTATGAATCTTCTCAAAGACTGATTTCTGTTATAAGCTGGTTGGCTGGTGAATCTTCTCAACAACTGATTCCTGACTCTTTAATTTGATGCATCAGCATTCAGGTGGTTTGAGCTCTGAAAATATCTGCAACTATCAGAGTTTGATCGGTATAAGGCCTTTCCTCCTGACTCGGTACCAAAGTATCTTATCCTCAGAGACAATATAAATTTCTCCTTATTGTCTACAAAGTAAATGATGAGGTGTGCGAGACTAGAGTTGAAACTTTATATCTGTTGGCAGTTATATTTAGAAGTAAGAAGATCATGATTTAGAGAAGTGCATTGTGACCAACTAGAATTAGGCTTAAGCTGATGTTTCCTTGTTGAAATTCAAGCCTAGTTACCTAAAGAAAGCTTAATCTAGTCACCACTTCCAGTTGTAAGGCAGTGACATGTTCTGATTAAGTCGAGTTAAATGTTTTTTTCTCTATGTGAACCTGTGCATTGTTTATGAGACCTGTAAATTTGAACTAAATATAGCATTTAGAGGGGTTTGCATTTCTCGTAAGCCTCAGTCATGAAGGTCATAGAATAAGTCCTGCGATACATATTTGTTTTAGTGCTCGCTAAAAGCATTCCATTTAATGTTTCACAGTCTATTTTTGTTTACGAATTACTCCATTTATATATTTTGAAACAAACATTTCAACAACTTTGATAAATACATTTGTTGCTACTTTATATGTTATTGGTGTAAAATATTCTTTTCAGGATTTTTTAGGGGAATTTCTCACAGGTTTATGACCTTTTTTTTTCTTCTTTTTATAGTATTTACGAGGCAAAATGTTTAAGTATATAATTCCAACCCAATGTACATAGGTGAAACTGTGACACTGAAACTGATAATTACTGTCACTGAAGATACGGCTGACAGTTTTAAAAGCACAATCTTTAATATTTTGCTAGAACCAAATTGGATAGCATTCTATCATAACTTTTTTTTTTAAATCGCTTTCACTGCACAGAGATATCTATGTAAGAGCTCTAGTTTCCCACCATAAATCACATCAAAAGGTATGAATATGTGGTTAGTGTGTAAAATATATAATATACACTACATAATATTGCTTTTTTTTTAACATAAAGCATCCTTGTTCCTATAACAACATTACCATTAAAGTTGAAAGTATTTCTTTTCAAAATGTAAAAATTTTTCTGGATGAGATCAAAATTACAAATATCATTAAAACGTTACAAACTTGTCTTGTTATCCAGATATTTCAGTCACATAATCTAGGTGGCTCAAAACACAAAAATAAAAATAAAAACCTATCAAAGTCAAAGAGGTATTAATTACAATATACAAATTAGGTTTGATAGCTTACCTGGACACTCTTTCACACAAAGAGAGCCAAAGGTGTACTTAACATCTGGATTTTTTTTGTTCATCATTAAATTTTTGTCATAGATGACATCCTTGGGACAATATGACACACATCCATCTTCATCCTTGAATGCTTTACACGCCTGAAATTTATTATTTTAAATTGAGGGAAAACATAATAAAATGAATTAACTATGTTTTCCTGTTGTAAATTTAAATAATGAAGGCACAAAAACATATACTGCTCAAACAACTGTCCAGCAGACCATATTTGTCCATGTATAAAAATGTCCTCAAGTATAAGATAATCTCAATTTTTCTGACCCACACTGAAGAAATAAATATTTTAATCACCCTCCTTGTATAAGATGAATCCCAATTTCAAACTTAAAAAATGTTGGAAAACATTTTTTACTTGGAAAAATACAGTATTTCCCAAATAACAACCTGGCGTGATGTTGACCACATCATCCACTGAGTGCCGATTGGTCTATAAAATATAGGTCTAGTCCTATATGCCTAAAGGCGAGAAAAGGTGTCATTTTCTTAACTGTTACTTACACAATATCAACAGATGCATGCAAATAAACTAGGTCAATATACAAGGATAATATATTATGTGTCATGTTATTATCCATTGAAATGACACATTTTAAAATAAGCATAAGAATTTGGGATACACAGGGGTAAAGCCTGGCAAATAAAAAGAAAGACAGTCAGTTTTAATACATACCAACACTGAAACAATGGCCTATTTGTGTGTTATGTATTTCTACTAAAACATATATAAGTGAAGGCAGTCACTGCTGCCCTCCACTGGCTTGTGAATCAGCTGCACACACATGCCGTGATTGTAACTGACTCACAAAGCATGTTGAGAAAGGTGGAGACAGGTATGCTTTGTGCAGAAAGGCAAGTTTAGAGGTCCCGGGTAGTTCCGTCCTTTGAATATTTTCTCCAGGTTATGCCTGTGTGTTGGGAAATGAGCAAGCAGATAGACTGAACGATTCAACACCAGCTGGTGGTGAACTGATGTATGACAAGCTGGGTGTTGTGAGGGCCCTTTGGGAATGGGTGACCAGTGAGGAAGCACAAACAGATCATTATGGTCTGAGGAGAAAGGTACTGCAGGGAAATACCAGGAGATCTGGCTGACGCTCAACACTCAAAGGAAGGGCGAGACAGATATAAAATTAGGCAGATATTAGTACCACCGGAATTGGAAATCTTTGCCTGCTGCTGAAAATTGGGACGGAGGACTTATGAGGATGTCCTGAGTGCTGTTATGTTAACTGTTAATTCAACATTACTAAAATGTTCATTACTGCGCTTTATTGTATGTTCACTTAATTCTGTAATATGAACATGAGAAGGTAGAGCAAAATATGCCAACTAATATACTATGCTATCTTTTGTTTATGTTATAATATTTAAATAAAGAAAATAATTCTGTAATTTCTTACAAACGATAAAAAACAATTACAACTGTCTTCATCCTGCATGTATGGATGCTTATGGCCAGCTTGTCTAGATCAGTTTTGATTGTTTGTGTGTTTGGATTTGAAAGAGGTATGATAAGGATGATCTTCCTGGCAAATTGATCAAGCTGGTTTACCTTATGCCTATATATCACGGAAAAGAAGAAAAATATTAACATTCTAACAGATCTAAACAGGCTTACAGACAGTGTTATGCCTTAGAAACCGAAATATTTCAGCCATATTGTATGATGCAAGTGCTTACAAAGAATAGTAATGGAAGACATAGTTAATGAAAGAAAGGACAGTGATTATAATCAGTATTAAGATGGACACAGGATACTGGAGACATTTGTTTATAAATACATTAGATGGGAATTGACAAAGGCCTCTCTGGTTTTCCATTAAGCATTGATCAAATGACAATCTACAATGAACCTGCTGTACAATGATGAAGATAGCTAAGGAACGTATGTCTATCAGTCCCAAAGGTCACAGTTGATGAGGCAATTATGACAGCAACAAAAACATGGGTATGCTATATCTACAGGAGCTAAACACACAACCCTTGTAGGAATCTTGTGTATTGTCATGTTTTACTAAGCCCCGACTAATCATGAATGTACAAGCAAAATAATATTTTGACTGCTGCATATGATTAAATCCAGTCACACACTGTACGCTGTTTGGTACTGAAAGAGCTAATCGTCTAAACAATGATAAAATATGGAGGAAAAACTGGATTTAAAAAAACCGTTAATGAGAAAAACTGGATTTATAACACATCAATGACAACGTGAACTTACAAAACAATCGGTTTTCTTGGGACCAGTACATCCTCCAGCACACTCTTGGTGGCAGCACTGGTATGGCAAACTTCCATAGCACCTGTTACCACCACAGTTGTCATGGCAGACAACACCATAGCTCACTGATAGAGAGACAGATATTACGTAATTTAGTCTGCGAGTTACTGGACCACCATAACTTCTAAGCATGGTCATATTTACAGACTGAAATGTGTTAAGAAAAAAATCGTATAATTCTCACAACTACCATTCCCACAACAACAATCCTCACAATTACAATCCTCGCAACTAAATTCCACACAACTAAAAACCTCACAGCTACAATCCCCACAACTACAATCTTCTAAAGCAGAATTCTGAAAGTGGGTACATATTTTTACTTGTTATTCAAGTACTTACATTATGTTTCAGCTTAGTTATAAATTAAATATGCGGCGTCCGTGGCTTAGGTGTTGCAAGTCTAACTCGTAATTCCAATGTACAGCGATTGAAACCCACTGCTGGCTGCGTAGATTTTTATCATGGTATGGGACATCGCAGGTCGACCCAGCCTGAAATGGGTACCAGGATGGGTGTCCTGGGGAGGTAAAGATGGCCGACATAAAGCTGACCACATTACCTACCCAGTGCCAATTGATCTGTTGAAAATATGAGGTATTCTTCCTATATGCCAGATGTGCCTTGAGGCGTGAAAAGGGATCTTTACTTTACTATATATAAAACATATTTTCAAACTATTTACTAAACAAAATGACATGGACATGTTTGTTTTCATGAGTAGTTTGTTCATTTATCGTTAAAAATCTAATTATTATGATAACATGCCCTTTAATTTTAGACTAAGAACACATTCTGACCAAAACATATCTCCATACTTTATGTTTCCTTATTGCTGAATTTACTTTCCTGTTTTCAATCGCTTTTTGTTATGTTGAGGGCATGTCATCTAATATAATCAAGGAGGTGTGGATGTCTTGCAATATACTCAAGAGGGTGTTGGGTCTTGACAAATATACAAGGCAGCATGACCTGAAAAACGTCTGAGACCACTGCTCTAAAGTGAATTTCTTCTACCTGTGATCCACAGACACCTGTGCTTCACAGACACCTGTGCTTCACAGACACCTGTGCTTCACAGACACCTGTGCTTCACAGACACCTGTGCATCACAGACACATGTGCATCACATGCCAGTGCACCAATAATGTCCATGCAATCTTGTTTTTCCATGCAATCTTGTTTTTCCAAGCAATCCTGTTTTCCTATAAAATCCTGGTTCCCCACAACCCCCACACACACACACACACATAATCATGTTTAATTCTTTCAGGCAATAGCAATATCTAATGTGTGATCCCAATCATTGCGTTATGTGTCCTCTATTTGTTACACTTTTGCACAGAGTATTCTACTTAAAGCGACGTCCGTGGCTAAGGCGTTGCGAGTCTGACTCGTAACCCAACGTACCGCGATCGAAACCTGCGTGGGCTACGTGGATTTTTATCGTGGTATGGGGCGTCGCAGGTTGACCCAGCCTCAAATGGGTACCAGGATGGGCTGTCCTGGGAAGTAAAGACAGCCGGCGTAAAGCTGACCACATTATCCACCGAGTGCTGATGGTCTGTAAAAATATGGGACACTCTTCCCATATGCCCGATACGCCTAAAGGTGTGGAAGGGATCTTTCCTTTTTTAATTTTATTCTACTTAAAACAGGTTTTTTTATGCCCACTTTCAATACATATACAGTCTCTTTGCATGTAAAACATTCAAGATTATTCACAACAGTTGCTTTTTTGGACATCTGCTAGCCAAACTGTCTGGGACTTAAAACAGTTAATAAATGACACACTGAGTTTTTTCTGCATCAGCCGGTCCAGGAAATATCTCTTCTTTTTTCCAGTCCATAGATGTATTAGTTAGTTAGTCTTTCCTCTTGTGTCGAGTGCGGCACATAGGGCAGAGGTCATGACTCTCCATGCATGGCGGTTCGTTGCAATCCGTTGTAGGTCTTGGATGTTTGAGTGGCCCATGAGCGAGCCTTCCCTGATGATAGTTCTACGTAGGGTAGATGTATAGATATTTTTTTTTTTTAAATGAAGAATATTATTGTAATGTGAGCACTTACATTTTTGACACATGTTTGGTCCCTCACCCCAGCAGTGTCTGTGATTGGTGATAGGATTGTAACAGCTCTCATGACATTCACCACCTGAAAGTAATTTAAAAAAAAAGGATATAAAAAAAATAAACATACAAAACATATTCAGTGCAGTAATGATAACTCAGATAGCAACTGGAGCTAGCTAGTATAACTAAATAAACATAGAAATAAGTAAATAATAGTAAATGAGTAAAAATAAACAAATAAATATATTCTTGACCATAAAACCCTTCTAGGAATGCAAGAGATGTGGTATTATAGACCCATGATGAGAATATTCTGGACAGTTAAAAACAGTAATTAGGAGGTCTTGAAAGAAACTGACTCACATAGAGAACTGATTGCCCACATCAGAAAGAGACAATCTACACTCTGATCATGTGATAAGAAGGAGAAAACTGGAGTACATCATGACAGTAGGAAAGTTGGAGGAGAAGAGAGGCAGAGGGAGACAAAGAGAACAGACACTGGACAGTTTGACATCATGGCATGGAGGATCATCTGTGCAAGAGTTGACTGAAAGTACACGAGAAAAAAGGTTGTGGATAACATGACTACCAACGCCACAAACCATGGACTTTATATGATGATCCAAAGAGACACTACTCTGGTAACAATTTAACAACAGCAAACCCCAGAAACCAATTCAACCCTATTACACACTTATATTAGGGATACCAAAAGTTGAAAGTTAACCTGCAGTCAAATGTGTATGGCGACTTTATATAAGTGACCTTTTATAACTGATGTACAAATTCTGGGAAGTATTACTAAATAAAAGAATTTATAATGTCAGTAACAATAATTGATGAATAAATTCTAGGAGGCCTATATCTTCAGCATGCCTCTCTGTGGCAGGTGGTACCATAGCCTTCTCATGTGATGGCCAAACCATCTCATCTTTGCTCTTTAATGAATTTTATAATTGGTTTCAATCCTAAACTTCTGGTTATTTCTTCATATTCTAACTATGCTTTTTTCCCCGAAACTGTAGAAGCTAAAAATGAATCTTCATTCTAATGAAGAACACAAGGAATACAATGTTTTCGTTCGACAAATACTCACACTGTCGCTTGGGTGTGTCATTGATGATGACAGGAGGATTGCTGCTAGGGTTGATATCAGTCCAGTTGATGGTGTCATCAAAACACAGCATGTTGTTGTTTTGCAAGAATACTTTGCCATTCAGGATCTCTGAAAAACCATTCATCAAGATATAGTTAGGGCAAATAAAATATATTGCTAATAGTCCAAAACTGCTAAAGCTAAACAAAACTTGGAGGGAAGATTGATTTTTCTTTAACACTCTTGAGATGCCATGCCAAGACAGCTCAGAACATGAATTAGAAAACATCCTGAGACGTCATCTTCATCTGGGTAGAGAAAGAGTCTCCATACTTATGGTACCTGCTGTCATATAGTTAACCACTGGTCTTGCCTTTCCACTGAGTCTCTTATAGCGCCAAAGCCTGCAGACATTCTCCGCCACATCATTCTCTCCAGGTCCAGGGACAGAATTTCATTATTTTCCATTTTACTTATTACGTTGTCCCACAGGCAAGAGAGACCACCTCTGTCGTGTGCATTTGCAGTACACCCTTAAGTGGGTGGCCTGTCCAGCCAACCCATCTGCCTGCTCATTCCTATTCCCATACACGCCTATATGACCAGGGCAAAATATCCCAGTGATCTCTTACCACTGGTCAATGTAACTCTCCCTCTCCCCTCTCTCTCTCTCTCCCTCTCTCTCTCTTTCTCTCTCTCTCTTTCTCTCTCTCTCTCCCCCCTCTCTCTCTCTCCCTCTCTCTCTCTCCCCCTCTCTCTCCCTCTTCCATGGGACTTATACCAGACTAAGCAAACTACTGCAAATAAAATTAAATCTCATACTGGTGCACTTCTTTTTTTTTCTTTGCGTTTACCATCTGTAAACTCTGGCGTAAAGTTCTGGTTGTTCGTCCACTTCTGGACTGCAGTCTAGTCCTATTCCAGAAACTGAGTGTTGCATGTGTATCCGTTTGACAGATCTGATTAATTTGTATGCAGACTGTTGATTCCTTGCTTCTCAGGCAGATGCACTCTGACTTTGAAGGAAGCTACCAATTATTCTACTCTTACGACATGCTTTTGGGCTAGGCAGTGGGTCTATTCTTGTTTTCCCTATAACAGGGCCCCGGAACCCATACAGGGATTACTAGTGCACAAGCCACAGAACTTGTTTTCTGAGAGTGTGAGCCTCTTCAAAGCCTTTCTTTTCTTTCTGTTGTCCATGTTCTGATTTGTGCCACTAGGCATGGTGGGTTAACAGATTATCAATATCAGAGCTAGGGAAAACTCGGCTGCCCAGTTTGCTGGTTGCCAACATGCCATGATTTTCTGTCATTCTCTCTGTCTACTCTGCCATCATATGTGAAGATGTTGGCCAAGTATTAAAAGTGTTGAACTTATTTTAAACTTTGATCTTTTTTTCTTTCTGTAAACTTTTTTCTTTCTATAAACAAGGTTTTCATTTTTGCAACGTTTATTTTCATATTAAGTCTGAGAAAGGTGTTGTATAGTTGGTTTATGTAGTCCTGTCGAAGATTAAATTTGTTGTGGAAAAGGCATTTATTGCTGACAAAGATGAGTTCATTGAAAGTTGCGTGTATATCCGCAGCTGGTTATATTTTATATTTTGTTGATACTTTAGAGGTGATTAACCACCTGGTTACAGAACCTGACTGACTGGACAGGTCTCAGGCATCAAACATGAAGTCCATTGCAACTGACCGCCAAAGGTGGAGAGAGCTGATCAGACAGTAAACAGAAACTGGTGACCCGACACGTAGTGTTATAGGATGATGATGATGATGATTAGTAAGAAACTGAACACTTCTTATATCAACACCATAATCAACATAAAGGTCAATGATTCAATGTTTAAAAATAGTGAACAAATTCTAAAAAAGGAGGAGGAGATGAGAAAGAAAGAACGAACGAACAAACAAACAAACAAACTTTATTTTCAAAGGGTTACAAATTGGGCACCCAGGCCCTTCTGTCATTTGGCCCTTCTAAGTACTCATTTTTCAGAGTACCAATGCCTGTTATCAATAATGCATGTTATATAAGTAAAAAAAAAAAAGGTAAAGATCCCTTTTCACGCCTTTCGGCGCATCGGGCATATGGGCAGAGCGTCCCATATTTTTACAGACCATCAGCACTCTGTGGGTAATGTGGTCAGCATTACGCCGGCTGTCTTTACTTTCCCAGGACAGCCCATCCTGGTACCCATTTTCGGCTGGGTCGACCTGATGCATGTTATATAATAAAAGAAATATACATTAGAGAATAATGCATACACACATCATGTGTACACAATTGTACGCGCACACGCGTGCGCATGCTCATGCACGCAAACACGCACGCATGCAGGCACACACACACACACACACGTATACTCCTACGTTCTCATACATGCACACTCATAAACAGACATACGCAATACATATACACATCTACATACACACATACATACATACACAAACATAAAACACATACATAAATGCACAAACAGAAAACACACAGAAGTATATTTATGGATATACATGCACACACACATTCCATACATACACACCTATACATGCATTCATGCATACACACATATACAATCACATGTACAAACACCAACACATGCCCACAACCACACATTTACACTCACATGAATACATACACCCACATACATGCATACATACATACACACATTTATACATACACTCACATCTTTACACACATACATACATACATACCTAAATACATACACCTACACTCACATACTTACACAGCTAAATATGCATACATACATCCACCAACATGCACACATACAAACATAGATGCATACATACATGCATACATACATGCATACATACATACATACATGCATACATACATATACAATCACCCATGCAGATATTACATACACACATGCATACCTGCATACATACATACTTGCATACACTATTGTACAAGAAGGTTGGTAGGTAATTTATTCCCTCCAAGAATGCATTCTGCAGAATTAACATCTCAAAAATTAGAATCAAACAGTTTAAAATCCCAGAAACCCCAGTAACCTGAAGTCCCATGGAGCCAGGGGAAATATCTGATAGAAGAAGAAGAAGAAGAAGAAGAAGAAGAAGAAGAAGAAGAAGAAGAAGAAGAAAAAAAAAAGAAGATGATGATGATGAGGAGGACAAGAAAAGAAGAAATTATGATGTTTTCATGTTCACTTTGTTTTTAACAGTGATTTCTGTTTCTACACATACAAATACTACTACTATTACATGCGTACCAGAGAGGCTGGTGAATCGTAGCTCCTTCAGTCCACGTTCTCCTCCTAGAATATTGTCATCATAGTTGAGTGTGATGAAGAGGCTGAACATATGGCCAGTTTTGTTGTGGTGATACAGAGTTGTTCCCCTGATAATCTGAAGGCTGGTCAAAGGGATGTAATCCACATAATTTCCGGCCAGCAGCACATAACCTGTTAGCAAAGTTCCATAATTAATAATAAAACAGAGAGAGATTATGATAAAATGTACACATTTAATTAAATATCATGATCAATTTCCACTTCAGTCAGGAGCAACGTGGGGAGGAACAGTTTGCGATCCATTGCATGATGGGCAAGAAAAGCTATTGTCATTCTGTGTTGAGGAAGAAGCTCTTTAATGTCATTAATCGATCGCCTAGGCCAGTATAATCTTGTTTTGTCCTTTATAGGACGAATTTTTTTGTCATTTGAAGCCCTACTCTGGCTTTTGCCAGGGGCCGCAATATAGGCAGGCCATACATATGGCCAAATGTCTGAATGCGGTTTCTGGGACCTCTCCACGGTGATCCTCATCCGCATGGTGGCACTTTGTGTCATCGGGTGTTTATCGCTTGTGTGATGTCCTGGTGGTGTAGAAAGTCAAGTCAAGTCAAGCCTAGGCCAGTGCTAGAGAGTATAATAAAGGTGTTTCGTCCAGGCGGTAAAACACCATTCATCTTCAAGTTGTGCTTCTCCGCCATGCCTCTGAGAAACTTGCTGCCACCTGCACTCATTGACCCTCCAGTCATTTGTTGGTTTACCGTTGCTTGTTGATTGTACTTGTGCTGTTGCAGAATTGTGCTTTGTTTTACTTGGCGCAACTATTGTACATAAGCTTGGTGTTGCTGTAAGGGAGCCATGCTTGCAGCTTGCCGCTAAACTTGTTTTGTTTTCTCATTGAAGTCTTTGTCATTTTTGTTGTACACTTTAGCAAGTTGCAGAATAGATCTTTTACTTTGTGTTATAATGTAGACAACACATGCCCAGGAGGATTAAATGTCATTTTATTTCCCATGAAAAAAAAAATGTTAGGACGAAATTCTTTGTTATTTGAAGCCCCATCCTGGCTTTTGCCGCAATATAGGCAGGCCATAAATATGGTCAATTGTCTGAACGCGGTTTCTGGGACCTCTCCACGGCGATCCTCATCCACATTGTGGCACTTTGTGTCATCGAGTGTTTATCGCTTGAGTGATATTCTAGTGGGGTAGAAAGTCAGTCAGTCCTAGGGCGGGGCTATTTAACTGGCGGTCTGCGAGCCAAACAAATTTAGCATGTGGAGGCCTAGCAAGTGGCCCGTGGACCATTGCCAGTTGTATTGTATTAATGACCTTCCTATGCTGGCCTTGCAAGTGACCCGTGGACCATTGCCAGTTGTATTGTATTAATGACCTTCCTATGCTGGCCTTGCAAGTGGCCCGTGGACCATTGCCAGTTGTATTGTATTAATGACCTTCCTATGCTGGCCTTGCAAGTGACCCGTGGACCATTGCCAGTTGTATTGTATTAATGACCTTCCTATGCTGGCCTTGCAAGTGACCCGTGGACCATTGCCAGTTGTATTGTATTAATGACCTTCCTATGCTGGGCTAGCAAGTGACCCGTGGACCATTGCCAGTTGTATTGTATTAATGACCTTCCTATGCTGGGCTTAGACTTGTGGCCTGTTTTCAAAATGTTGGTCAATGGCTAAACTTAGTTGAATAGACACAAACCCTCTTCTTCTGCTTTTCTAACCCCCACTGGAGTATAGGCCCTCAACCAACTCATGCCAAGGTTGTTCTATCCTTCGCTATCGCATGCAGCTCTTCCCATGTCCTTCCCGTCTTTTCAACTTCACTCTCTAACTTCCTTCTTTATGTGTTTTTTTTCCCTCTGCCTCTGTGGGTTCCAGTACAAAGACTTTCTAGTTATATTGTTCTCAGGTTTTCTTAACATGTGTCCTATCCAATAGCAGCATCTGTTCTTCACCTCTTGGTCCATTGGAACTTGTTTAGTTCTGTCCCCAAGTTCAACATTATCAAAACCATACTAGTTGGAACAGCAGGGTCAGGTCACTAAGAGGCTGTAAGTGATACCAATGAGCAAACAAAATTAGAGGTGGTGGTTCTTTATTAATATCCTACCCCAGATAAGGTCACAGGACAGTCCAACATTTTAGAGGGTGGTGAGAATAGGTTTCCTGGCTTTCTGATTCTTTAAATGACCCCAATACATCTAGAACTGGCCCTAACTCCAACCCACATATGTCCCATGAAAGAGTACAGTCCGAGTTCCACGACTGCATGCAGCCTAGGTCACACGACTGCATGCAGCCTGGGTCACACGACTGCATGCAGCCTAGGTCACAAGACTGCATGCAGCCTAGGTCACACGACTGCATGCAGCCTAGGTCCCACGACTGCATGCAGCCTATCTACCACCCCCTGAAATATTACTCTCCCTGTTTAGGGTAGGATATTATTAAAGCACCAAGGTGGCAAATAATAGGACAAAGTTTAGTCTTTCCTACAAAAGCTTGATTTGTTTTATGTATGTGAGGTATGGACATTAAGCAAACTGGACTATATTTAAGCGTAGCCGAGATGTGGTTTTTAAGAATAATGCAACAATCATTGAATAACAGAAAAATAAATTAGGTAGTCCTCCCCGAGACAGAAGAAAACTACAAACTGATTTGAAACATCAGGCATACATTTCTGAAATTTTATGAGGAGAAATGGACCTGAGAATTTGGTAATGACTGGCAAGATTAAAGGTTAAAAAATAAAAATTTTTAATTTTAATAAAAATCAAGGGGAAGGCAAAGAGATACCTAGATGACTTGGCCATAAGAGTTAGGCCAGACAGGAACACACACATGATCCGTCGTTTTGGTGATCATGTGGGATGTCAAAACTTGACAATCTGAGGCAGATGATGTTACCGATACAAACATCTGCTACATGGAAATCATTCAAACTTCTTACCTGTGACCTCTCTGATCTGAGACAGAAAGCTCATGTCATAGTTAGCCTCCTCATCATCCAGGAAGAGAATCTCCAGGTTGCCCACCACGTATGTACAGTTGGTGTATGTGTCCCTGTATTTCCGATACCTGGCATTGGAGTCTCCCGCAATGTTAAACCCAGTAGAGGTTCCATAACAGGCTGGGGGGAAGGAGATGACATATTTGTTAAAGGGGCATGGATGCTATAACAATGAAGTGAGTTCAAGAGTATGCCTCTGAGAGGACATGGTTGTTATAAAAATAGGAGGAAAAGAAGAAGCAGAAAGAAGAAAGAAGAAGAAGAAAACAAGAACAGACACACTGCCTCCCACAAGAGTATGTCTAGATTCGACTAACTGGCTGCTTCCTTCGAAGTCGGAGTGCATCTGCCAGAGCGGCAAGGAACAACCACCTGCTCACAAATAAGCCAGTGAAACGGATGTACATGCAAACCTCAGGCCTTAGTCCAAATGGATGAACAACCAGGATGAACAACCAGGAGCTTCCAATCGGTGAACGAAGAAGAAGAAGGGGGAGGAGGAAGAGATAGAGGAGGAAGAGGAAGGGGAGGAAGGGGGGAGGAGGAGGAGGAAGAGGAAGACGAGGAAAAAAGAAGAAGCAGCAGCAGCAGCAGCAGCAACTCATCACTGATCGGGATGCAGCAGTGCACCATGAAGTTAGTTTATAGCAGATCGGGTAATCCCTGACCTTTTTGTTATTATTATTCAATTAAAATAATGCTCCACTCGTTTGTGTTTACGATCTAATCCGTATTTCATTTCACACGGCATAGATTGATTCCATGTGCTTTTGATTGTAAGTGTATTTTATGTGTGCGGGTGTGTTTATAATAGAGAGGGAGGCAGAGAGGGAGAAGCAGGCAGACGATGGGGAATTCATTCATTCATTCATTCAGTAGCATGTCCCTCGCGGAACCTCGCTGCCATAACAACCCTCCGGAAAACCTTCCTATCATGAGCAAGATGTCCTGCGTCTGATACACCCATCTTGAGATCATCTGCCACATCCTGCACCCATCTTCTCCTTGGCCTTCCTCTTCCTCTCTTCCCAGGCATATACCCCTCCATTATTGTTCTCTCTAGACCTCCATGACGTTTCAAGTGACCAAAATATTTCAATTTTCTTTGTTTTATTGTCTTTACTAGCCAACCCTCTTCAATATTCAGCTCTTGAAGTATGGATGCATTTGTTCTTTTCTTTACCCAAGATATTCTTAGAACCTGTCTGTAACATTTATATTCAAATGCATTTATGCGCTGTTCCGCTTGTTTAGTAAGTGTCCAGGTCTCACAGGCGTATGTTGCAATGGGAAAGATGCATGCTCTTAAAAATCTGACCTTTGTAATTCTATCTGTACAATTCCATAATTTATTCAGTTGTTTTAGTCTTTGAAGAGCAATTGATAGTCGCCGTTTAATTTCTTTCATTGTGTCACCATTGTTGGTAACCAGTGACCCAAGATATTCAAAATTTTCCACCACTTCCAATCTTTCCTCATTAACATATATTTCCTTCTCCATGGCAGTTTTGTTTGTATGCATTATCTTTGTTTTTGCTGTGCTAAGAAATAAGTTATGATTTTCACTATTTCTTTGGAGTGAGGTTAATAAGTTTTCTAAACCATTTTGTGATGTTGATAGTAATACTGTATCATCAGCATAACGAATTTCTGGTATTTCATGACCACCGATGTTTAGGGCATCATATTGTTCCTTGTTTATATCATCTCTTACATTTCTCATTATATTTTCGGCGTACAGGTTGAACAAATACGGTGACAGCACACATCCCTGACGGACTCCTTGCTTGATGCCAAACCAGTCTGATGTCTCTCCATCTATTCTGACTGCTGCTTGTTGGTCTTGATAGAGCATTTTAATGAGCTGCACTATATGTGATGGAAAGCCCATATTCCTCATGATTTCCCAAAAAGCTTCTGATGTTGTACACAGTCAAATGCTTTTGAATAATCCACAAAACATAAGAACAGATTTACATTAAATTCTCTACACTTCTCTATTATTAAACGCATGTTGAATATATGATCTCTTGTTCCTCTTCCCTGTCTAAATCCAGCCTGAGCTACATTAATCTCTTCTTCCATTTTCTTTTGCAGTCTTCTCATTATAATTTTTAGTAGAATTTTACTTGCATGACTGATCAGGGCAATAGTTCGATAGTTTGTACATAATTTCAGGTCACCCTTTTTTGGTATTGGAATGAAGATAGTTCTCTTCCAGTCTTTTGGCCAAATACCATATTTCCATATCTTTTCACATAATGCATGATAGATTTTTATGCTTTCTTCTCCTCCCGCTTTAATCAATTCAGCTGGTATCTCATCACATCCAGGTGATTTACCATTTTTCAGGCTCCTTATTGCCCATGAAATTTCATCTAATGAAGGTTCAGGTTCTGCCTCTACTGTTACTGGTTCATGTATATCATTCATATCCTCACTGTCATTCATATCATACATTCCGCTGCAGTATTCCTGCCATCTTCCTAGAATTTGTCTAGATTCTGTTAAAGTATTTCCCAACCTGTCACAAATAACATTTAACTGAGGTTGAAAATTTCTTGTCAATAACTTCATTTCCTTGAACATTTCGTAATCTCTTCCATTTTTGTGATGCTGCTCTATTTTAATACAGCAATCTTGTACATACTGATTTTTATCCTTTCTTGTGTACTTTCTTATTTCTCGTGTAAAAAATTTATACTTCATCCTACTATCATTGGCTTCTCCTTTCTTTTTCAGTTCTCTTCGTTGTTTTATTAGTTCTAACGTGTATGGTGTGATCCATGGTTTATGTTGCTTAGTCCTGGTGGGTATTAAGTCTTTAGCTGCTGTTATCAAGATATCCCTAGCTTGTACCGCCAGTTCATCAGGTGTCATTTCCTCTTGTACAGACATCAAGACCTCAAAACGGTTCTTCACTTCTACGTTGTATGCATCTGGTATTTTGGTGAGATCAAATCGAAATGGCCTTGGTCCTCGGGTAAGCTTTTTGAGTTTTAATTTTAGATCTGCTTCTAGTAACTGATGATCTGTATCGCAATCTGCACTTCGCAGGGTTTTTGCAGATGTTATGCTCGATCTCCATCTTCTTTGTATTAAAATGTAATCTATCTGATTTTTGGTAACACCGTCAGGGGATGTCCATGTGAAAAGCCTTCTAGGGTGTTGTTTATAAAGTGTGTTAGCTATTGTTAATTCATTTTCTATGCAAAATTCAATCAATTTTTCTCCTGTTTCATTTCTATTACCCAATCCAAATTTTCCTAAAACGTGTCTCTCATTTTCATCTCTGCCTGTACCTACTTTAGCATTAAAATCTCCCATTATTATTATTATATCATTCTGATTAATTTTATTTAATGTGTCTTGCAGTATGGCATAAAAATCTTCAATTTCGCCCTCCTCTGCTGTTGAAGTTGGTGCATATACCTGCATGAAAGTTATGTTTTTTGGACGGCCTTTAAGTCTGATAGTTAGGATTCTATCACTAACTGGATTATATCCCATAATAGCTTTTGCTGTTGTTTTATCTAAACAAAATGCCACTCCGCTCTGGCCTCTTACATCTCTACCAGAATATACGAAAAAGCTTCCATATTCATTGATAAAATGTCCCTTGCCACTCCAACGATGTTCACAAATTCCTAAGATCTGAATATTTAATCTTTCAATCTCATCACATACTACTTTAAGCTTTCCTTCATACAGACTTCTCACATTCCACGTTCCTATTCGCATTCTGTTTCTTAGTCTGACACAGTGGATTTCCTTGGTAACACAGTCAGGATTAACTCCGTCATCACGATTACTAGTACCGACCCCTGTATCACACTCTTCCCCAGTGTTATCTGATCTGCCTGGCCTGGGGGTCTCGCCACCAGATCTCTTCTGTGTTATGTTTTCTTTCATGATTGTTATGGGTTCTTGGCAAAATTTGCAGAAGGTAGTTTGCCATTGCTTTCCTCCTGAGCAGTGACTATACTAGTCGGTGGCCATAGCCATTGTCTCTACTGATGAGATCATCTGCCTATCGCCGCAGAGTGCAGACCATAACCAACAATACCTGTCGGCTGCTCTTACACTCCATCCACCACCTGCTTCCATGGCTTCACGTAACCCTGATTGGGGGGCTAAACGGGTACTCCACCTTGCCCAAGGGTGTCCCGTAGACTAGCGGAGGAAAGGAGGCGTCTTACTTCTCCTTTGATAGGGGATACCCCTACCCCGCTAACCGGCGATGGGGAATAGGGAGAGAGAATGATATAACAAAGGAGAAAGAGAGGGACAGAGAACCAACATGAAGCGAGGGAAAGGAAAGAGAGATAAAAGATAGAAAAACGCTTGAGAACGAGTGAAACATTGAGACACAAATAGTCTTAGAGCGAGAGATCTACAGAGAGGGGGGGGGGGGGAGATAGGCAGGGAGAGAGAGGATATAACGAAGAATTAAAGAAATAAATACGGAGAGAGGGAATGGAAAGAGTGATACAAGTAGAGATCGAATGATACAGACAAACAGAAAGACAAAGCGAGAGAGGGAGAGGGGGGGGGGTCAGGCATAAGTAGGATTTAACGAAGGAGAAAGACATAACTAAAGGGGTGGGGGGTGTCCGAGAGATACAGAGACACACAGAAAAAGATCCAGCTAAAGGAGAGACAGAAAATATGATAGAGCGAGAGAGACAGTTGGAAAGGATAAGGAGACTGATAAAGATACAAAAACAGAGACAGAGAGACGAAGACACACAGACACACACACACACGTGTGATATGGTGTGTGTGTGTGTGTGTGTGTGTGTGTGTGTGTGTGTGTGAGAGAGAGAGAGAGAGAGAGAGAGAGAGAGAGAGAGAGAGAGAGAGAGAGAGAGAGAGAGAGAGAGAAAACAGTATTATATATGAACTCTTGTGTTATCACGTTATCAACATGTTTATTGTGATATCCATGCCCACGACTATAAAACAAACCGGACCAACTGTTACCGCCCCTGCAATCTGTACTCCAATTTGTAAGGTGGTTAAGTAGTTAAGCAGACCACTTTTACGACATCTATATCCCACTATGTCGCAAATGCAGCACGGCCGAAAAGTGGGAAGATAATCTGTGGACATTAAACCCA